GGGTCTCTGTTACCTTAATTGATATCATGCTGGACTAGGCCTACGGAGGGGACAGTCGTGTTTTGAATACCGTTTTTGGTGTTTTCGAACGCCGGTGGTTTCGAGTTTTTAAGGCTCTGTCCTATCGGAGATGAATGTTGAATTGGTAGGTCATGCCTCTTTGATAACCTTACAGTGTTAAAAGAGGCGTCAAAGCCACATACTTACTTACTAAATGACTACTATTAAAAAGCATGCTTTTTTTCTTATTATCGTGCATACTTATGCCATTGGTTTACGCCCCTTTTAACACTGTAAGATTTTTAAACAGTGGGACCTCAAAAGTAACATCCATCTCCGATGGGGATTTGAACCAGGGCCATCATCTCCGTTGAAAGCATGCCACCAGTGAGCTAATGGCGTTCCAACAGAAAAGCATTTTGACCCTTTCAATAAAGCGCAATACCACTGGCAAGTCCAATAAACTCATGATTGTACACATACTGAGATCTCCAGGTCATGTTGCCTCGCTCCTGCCATAGACACTGCTCAAACAATGGCCAACAACATGGGCTGTCTTGTAACAGAGATAGTATTGCAAGCCTATTTCGGATGGGGTTTTTTTTCTCTTCTTAAACCGTTTTCTGTTCTGTTTTTGTGGCACACTGTGGTTTCTCATTTTTTCCCGTCCATACTTTGGGGGTACTTCTACTCGTTAGTGTCGGCTGATTTTATATTGATTCTTTTATGTCCTTTCTTTCTCTTCTGATGGTGGTGTCCACGTGACACAATAATTTAAACCTGAGCCCAAACATATCCTTTCAAAACCGATGCATCGTTTGCCACCATAAGACTATTTTTTCCGGGAAGGGGAGGAGGGGGGCATAATATATCACTACTTCGATGTTGTTTCTGATGTTGTGAACCAAACTTTATAGTATCAGATTACTGAAACTTATCTTTTCGATTCAACTTCCTGCGACTTTGCTGTCGTTCCTGCATATTCGAATACTGTTCATGTATTTCCCGTAATTTCTATTTAGCTAGGTTATTTTTGTGTGGTTTTATTGGATCTTTCTTTTATGATTTATTTTTTACTACAAATACGACCACTCTCTCTTCTAGTGTCGTTATTTCATGTCTTCATTCTTCGTTTCTCCTTTAAACCTGTCACTTTCTGTAACATTACAATACCCCCCCTGTCCCCTCCCCGGGGCGCTACCACTGACTGAAGTGTCTTTAGGCAATTCCCAAAGGGGAGATATAAACATCTCGAGTTCTTATACATAGTAGAATTGTAATTGTAAATGGGTTGATTCATCAATGTCATACTCATAACTGTGCCTGACCTGCAACAGGGAACTGCTGCTTTTTCTTTTCTAATCCTTACTATCGCCATTTTTTCCTCTACTGTTTTGAATGTTTGTCATACTGTTGTGACCCGCTATTTCCGGGGTGCCTTGATAGTCGGAGCAGACTTTGCGCTGTTGAAGCAAAAGAGGTGAGCAGAGTAAGTCTAATTCCCTGTAAGGACTTCTCTGTTGACACCCACTACTTGGCGCTCCTATGACCTTGTTGCGAGCGCCGTAAAACCTCTACTAAAACAAAACAATAATACCCAGAGCGTGCTAATCTCATTCCTCTATCCCCTCAGCAAGTGCAATGTGCGCCATCTCCTTCACCATGATGGCGATTGCCGGCGACCGCTTCTTCGCCATCGTGTTCCCCCTGAGGGCCCGCGTGACCCAGAGCAAGGTCAAGTTCGTCATTGCTGTAGTGTGGCTGTGCGCCGTCAGCATCGGCATCCCGCCTCTGGTCTTCTACACCTACACGGAGAGGCGCTGGGCCAACTATGTGGAGACGTTCTGTGCCGACATCTGGCCCGTGAGTGCCCAATGTGCTCACGATTGTTTGTTTGTTTGAGTGTCCTCATGATCGTCCTTGAGGTTGTTTGTTTGTTAGTTTGATTGTCCTCATGATTGTCCTTGAGGCTGTTTGTTTGATTGATTGTCCTCACGATTGTCGTCACGGTTGCTTGTTTGTTTGATTGTTATTACGACTGTTTGTTTCTTCTATTGTCCTCAAGTTTTTTGTTTGATTGTCCTTACGGCTCTTCGTTTGTTTGTTTTACTCTCTGGTTGTTTTCTTCTTGACTGGCCTTCTGGTTGTTGGTTTCATTGTCCTCGCGACTGTTGGTTGATTTGTACTCACGATTTCCGTTTTTCATTTACATACATCAGATCTGAAACAGAAATCGTCAGTCATGATTTGCCACCATTTCTCTGCTAAAGGGTAAAACGTATATCCTTGTCTTTTCCTTTCACCCATGTGCTCAAGTTTTCAATACAACTTATTCTTGTTTCATCTCTACCGCTTTTGCGTTCTACTTTTCACCAAACTTTATGGCTTGATAAGCTAGTCGAGGTGGCAGGGAGCACTGTTTGATGACAGCAGAGCAGACCACAATATTTGCGCTGCGTTGGTCCAGATTATTTTCGTCGCTCATAATTTAATGACAGTATCTTTTTTTCTGTTTTGTTTTTAACTCCGTTAAAATTCTTCACGCCGCGGAAGACCAAAGAGAACCTCTTTGCCCTGATATAGCACTTGACCCCAAATTAAATCTATTGGTTTTGATAAACAAAAGAAATAGTAGACCTTCACTTAAACTATTTACGCTATTATCTTATAATCCTTGTGTTGTTTAGGAGTCTTGTTCGGGGACAACATTCGGAAAAATGCTTTTTTTTTTTTTTACTAATTGCTTAAAGAAAAGCCTAACGTATTAACTGCTCCGTGGATGTATTGTACCAAATTTTGGGAGATCATGTGAGAAACGAAATGCTTAAGAATCAAGTATCTTAATATCATAATTATATAATGATGTTCATTAAAAGTTACTAATCTGCCGCTCATAATTGTTTCTCTTACAATATGCGTCCAAGAAATAGTCCATCAAAGGTATGAAGTATCAAGTGATCTTTGATTTTATTGTTTCAAAATATATCAAAACATTGTTGATGAATATGAACCTATGCGAATTGTCTCGAATTATGTGAGAGAAAAAGAGACAACAGAATCAAATCAGATTTATCATTTTTCTACAGACTCAAATTGAATTATAATAATCTGGTTAAAAAATAAGACAAGCTCGCCCTATGAGACTGGTACACTGTAGTATGAGCTTTTCTCCGCGGATTCAAATTAAATTAATGCAACTTTGAGTTTGGTCTTACGTATATGAAACATTGTACACATATTTTAGAAATGATATTGTATATTATTTTGGTGGTGATAATGGATTTAATCAAGCAACAGATTGCTGAGACATTTTTCAAATAGGCTGTAAATAAAAGTTAGTGCATTTTTGGAGAGAACCAGATTCACATTCAACTGTGGGTTTTTATCTCCTGCAATTTTCAGGCGGGTATTCAACCGTAACAGTTTGATAGTGTTTGCTAAAGGGAACAAAATACAAATCATGTACATCATGTTTGCATAATCATATTTTGAACGCAAAAATAAATATTACTGGTCCCTACAACGAGACTTAATGGTTTTCATGACATGGTGTAGGCTTTTTTGATTATTTACTTTTTTCTGCTTCTAGTTAAAGTTTGTATGCGATACTTTTATTCATGAGTTCATTACTAAACAAACATGCGTAAATATTGCCTTTCGAAAATGACTTTAATTAAACGAAGTATTGCAACTCGTTAAACTAAATTAAAACAATCAGAACTGCAATTATTTATATTCTTGATTAATATTTGCCTTTGTACCTGAGAAGTCTTGCGAGTATACTGGATGTGGAAACGTTCAATGTGCCAACATTTTTGTGCCTACATTACAGTAATAACTTCATCAAACAAACGATAATTACAGAATCTGTCTCTTGTGCAAGGTATAATGGTTATGCAAATTCGGGAGTTTGGTGTCTGCATGGAAAAGTTTAATTCATAAAGTATGCTCATTTTTGTAACATAGAATTGCCAACCAATCTAAAAAAAAAGGGAGTAGGGAAAGGGTAAGCTCGGATTACTCTTGATAGACTGTTTCAAAACCTTTCATGTGCTTAATGATTCAAACTGTTTTGACAGGAGCGTAAACATTTAAGGGATTGGCGCGAGCGCTACACCCCCAAAATCAAAATTCGGCTCAAAATCATGGAATTTAAGTTGTAGGCATTTTCAGCTTCCTCAGCCTCTCCTACAACTATTTCATGGAATAAGAACCCCCAAAAACCGTATTTTTTCCCATACCTGGCATGTTTGTAACCGCCATTTCCTCATAAAGTCAGTATTTTATTTTTTCTTATCGGCCGTTTTCTCAAAATGCGACTTTTCTCTATACTTTTTTGAATAACTCCACCATTTTTCACCCAATCTTCAAGAAATTTTCACAGAATGGAGAGAAGAGGTAGTACTAAAAATTTGTCTGTTGAATTTTTTATATATGAAATAGATTTTTGTTGGTGGTGTCTGGAGTGTGGATTTTCACGGATTTTTAGCAAACTTGAATGCTACCTCAGGAAAAAATTCCTTAAAAATTTTCTAATTCGCTTAGGAAAAAAACAATAAACAAATTTTTAGATCTAATGTTTGTTAACACGTATGCAAAAAACAATCAATTTCCATGAGCGATAAGTGCGGTATTCATCACGTGAGACATGTCAATAAAATCCAATATGGCGGCGTATCCATGGTAACGAAACATTTTTCTCAAATTTGAATGCGGATTTTAAGATTCCTTACTATGCTTGTTATATGTGTGAAATTTGGTAAAATTCGGTCCAGTAATAAGCGAGATAGCCTCCAGGTGTAGCCCCCCCCCCCCCCCCCCCGCCCCTTAAACCCAATAGATATCAATAAATATGCATTTAATCTTATACGTAAAGGGATTGTGTGTATCCTGAAGCTACAATACTTTTTACAGCAGCAACATTTACTGAGAGTCTAAAACCACTCCTTTCTTTTAGATTAGAAAAAAATAAAGGAAAGAATTGAGGTGAAGAAGACAAAAAGAGTCCTGTTTTTACTGAAAGTCGCTTCTTAATTAAGGCTGAAAAGAGTAGGCGTAGATTATGGCCACATCTTTATTTGCCGTTTGTTAACCAGTTTAAATGGAGTTGTTTGACCAGCAAAGCATTCCTTTTTAAATGGAAAGAGAATATGCTTCATCGTGAACGCCTTTATTTTTATGCCGCTAAAATCAACCCTACTTGTTGTAGATTAGGTGGGTTTAAAAAACAAACTCATTAGGACTGCATGACTGGAAGGGTTTAGTATCCCTGAACAAAGTCAGGTATCGCCTTTCACCCTTAATCAACATCAATATAATACATTGATTCACAAATGCAATGAGCTGGGCGGGGAAGTATAGCCTCGAAAGATTGTCTCTTAGTGTGTGCTTTGGGGGGGGGGGGGTCAAAAGACATACCAATCTATAGAGTGGTTTTAATTAAAATTACCTATCCAGTTTTTTAACCATTTTATTTTTTACCTAAGAGGTTAACAAAGAGTATCATTGTCATCATTGTCATCATTGTTATTGTCTTTACTAGATGATCGAGCGGTCTGACGGGACATGCGACAAAGGCCAGGTGTCTGAGCGTGTGTACTGGACAGTGATTGTGGCCGTGCTCAACTGGATCCCTATGCTGATGATGAGCATCAACTATACCGTCATCATTCACCGGCTCCAGTTCTCGAGGGTGGCTCACAATGGAAACGACAGCATGTCGGCCGTGCAAAGACGATCGGCCAGAAGAGTGAGCATCGTAGCTTTTGTCTTCTTCTTCTTCTCGATCACATCACACTTGAAGTCTAGTATCGGTCATAATTTGGGCTGTTCCGTTCAGTTCATCTGACGGCCCGAACAGATTCTCTCGTAGTGTCGTAGCTTTTGTAATTGTAATACTGTGAATGTTGTACGACTTCATCGACACAATTAAGATTGTTTAGGAGGCGGGTTGCTTCTATCCTACCTGTAGAGAAACGGGGCTGACAGGGATGCAAGGAACCAGAAGACAGACGGAGATAGTCAAAGAAAGACCCCCGCACAAGGGGATTGATCTCATAGCTTCTGCGTGCCACGGTGAGGAGGTTAACCATTACATTCTTTTGCCAGTAGTCTGATAGACTCCACTGCAGAGTTCGTCTGTTCAAATAATCCTGTCTGTGGGTTTGGGTCGTGTGAGGAAGACATGCTAGTCACCGCACACTTGTCAGACTTGACCAGGGAAAATCAAATCTACGACCTGCGGGTCAGATCCGGACCATGACAGCTATTAGTCGGGGCCGCCGCCCTGAACTCAGGGGGTGGGGGGTGGGAGGTGGCAGGAGTTGGAGGCGGGGGGATTTTTCCTTTTTCGTATGTTAGATTAGATCTAATGTGCGCACTTATCTACGTGTGACATGACTTGCATGACATTACTTTCTAATGATCTTTTGGAAAAATACATGCTAGTTACCTTTATGTGCTAAGTTTTACACAGTATTGTATTAAACAAAACAATAATTCATTACGCTGTCAACACATTTTTAGTTATCCGGCTGTTCAATCTTACAAGAGGAACGCTTGACCCGCTTGACGGGAGCTGTGAATCCATAAAGAGTTTGGTTTATTTTTTTTAAACCCTATCCGTACCCCCGGGGTTGTATTCTTCACATTTTAGAATACTTCTAGTACGAAGATCTCTTTGAAACTTTCAGTATTTCACAAAAAAATCATGTTGACAGACGGCTATGCAAAGCGCATAGATCGGATTACCTAGTAAATTTCCTCTTTGGAAAGTGGTTGCACAGAGTTCTCCACGTCGTATGGATACGATAGTAAAACACGACGTACGGATAGGGTTAACGATCCCGTATGTTCCCTCCACAGGTAGTCAAGATGCTTTTCACGCTTCTCATCACCTTCATGGTCTGCACACTGCCCTTCCAGGTGTCCACCATATACGAGAACTACAAGGACAGGCAGACCAAGGTGGGTCCAACGGCTGTGGCAGTTAACTTTTTTCTCAATCAGTCAGGTCGGGAGGATCGGTTGAGTTGGAGAGATCCAGCGGCCAGGGAACATTAACATTTATTCCACATATCCCCTGTTTTTTTTTCTTTTTTTAAAATGTAAATGTTTTTACACCCCATTTAGATCATTTAGAAGGCGGGCTTCCGACCTTGCCTGTCTGAGCCAGCCCAGGCAGAGTAGGATATATCACCCAAGCAGAAGGACCGAGATACTCGATAATTGTTTATTTTCCCCCCTCGGGAATCGAACTCGGGTCTTCTACTTGGGTTAACGAAGCGTGTAATCGTTACACAACAGATGCTAGGACATGACTGCATGAGGTCGGTAGCATCGGTTTGGTTGGAAGACACTGTGGCCAGGGCACATTAAAATTTAATTCTAATTCTAATTCTAATTCTAATTCTAATTATTATTATTATTATTATTATTATTATTATTATTATTATAAGTATTTTTATTATTATCATTATAAGTTTATTTATTATCCTCTGGTTTTCTTCAACACCATCACACTCAGATCTGTCCGCGCTTCGCCAGCGGGTAGATGCAGCTCACACGACAATGATTTTGTTTCTTATTGCTTGGGACTTAAAGAGTCTTTGTTGTTACTTCAAGTTCACTTTTTCAGATTTTAAGCTAAACCAGAATTATTCCCCCAAGTCCGAATCGGATCGTATAAAATTAAAAAAGATGCACACATCTGGCCAGGTTAGAAGACGCTTTTCCAAATTTGCAGAAACGATCGTGAATCGTACGAAATGTGTGCAGAAGTAACCTAATGTTTTACATTAAAGTTCTAACAAGTTGTACCATAGAGCTATGTTTATAAATAACATAGCATCGCTCAAATATTCCAAAGGCATTCTCCGTTTATTGATTTATTAACATGTCAGTGATCAGGTACGTTGAGTTCCACCAACGAGGTTTAATTAAGCGGTTAAGTACGTCGCCGTTACATGCACAAAACCCACGTTTGATTCTCGTGTGGAGAGAATGTGTATCCTTATTCAGTTTGAACTTCTAGTACGTTGCATCCCTCTCAGCCCGGGTTGGCCCTGACAGGCGGGATCGAAGTCCACCTCCAAAATGGTCTCTAAGCTGTGTTAATGGGGGCGTAAAACAGTTATATTTTAAAATGTATGTGGAGAAGCGTAGAATGCAAAGTGAGGACAGAATACTCTGAGAGACCCAAATAAGCTTCGTGAAATCAACAACATCAGGAATAAAATTATGCGCAGAATAATGTTCACAGCATTCTACAATGCTATCCCAGAGGCGCACAGTTCTATCTGCTAAATATCTAGTTTTGTTGGGAAATTAATTTCTATCTAGTTTTTTTTAATGCAATTTTTTTTAAACATCTTGATAACCACTCGGTTAATCTTACGGTTTTGATAGAGCAGATCGAACATTTTGTTTCTGACACCATTGTCTAAGTAACTCAAAAGGCCAAAAATATCAGATAGAACTTTGTAATGCTAAGGCAGCGATATGTCTCGCTGTTGGCTTATCATTGAAATTTGTTGAAAGTTTAATTGTGAGGCAGCGTGGTGGAATCAGGCTCTCGTCAAAACAATCAAAGTGAAGAAACTTGCATTTTTTCGCAGGTTTAGGAATTTTTATCACATTTTTGGCTCAAAACCTGTCATGCCCATTAAAGAACTCATTTATGAGTGGATTTTTCTGAAAAAAGTTGATTAAAGGCACAAGAAATGTAGAATTTCAGTTACCGCGGACTCTTAAGCTAAGGAAATAACTAATCTTTGGTGGCCATTTCCCCACTAATTTTACCCCTGAAAACAGGTGACCCCCACCTCCTTCATTCGCAAATATCCCGACTTGTATTCAAGATAAATGGATATTTTTTTCATCCAAATAAAGACAAGTGAACAAACTTTAAGATGATGCCAATAACTGTACATGCCTCCAAAACTGACGAGAGCCTGATTCCACCGCGCTGCCTCACCCGTGTAAAGTATGACAGAGGGTTAATTTATCTATTATGACTCAAAAGTAAAGGTAATCAGCACCATGTTCTCATCTAAAAGGTTGTCACTGATGTTAATGTAGTTGGTGTTGCTGCTGTTATTTTTGTTGTCGTTGTTGTTGTAATCATTATTGTTAATGTTGTTGGTGTTATTGTTGGTTGTGTTGTTGTTGGTGTTGTTGTTGTTGGTGTTGTTGTTATTGTTGTTGGTGGTGGTGGTATTGTGATGGTGTGGTGGTAGATGTGGTGGTGTTGCTTCTATTGGTGTTGCAATGAACAAGCTACAGTGATGCCATTCGACTAAACAGTTACGAGGTAGACATAATATCTTAAGATTCTCATGTCCTCACTCCTACTTCCTTCTGTGAAGGCAAAAAAAGCAAAGAAACAACAACAAAAAAACTCAAGTGTTACAAAGGATAAACATTTTTAAAAACAACAACATTCTAACGCTTCAATGTTTTACCGCGCAAGAAGCCCTCGTCTTCCAGTTTCAATGATAATACAGCTGTGTAATGCTTTGTTGGAAAAAGTTTGGTTGGCTTTGACTAACAAAATCTTCTAAACCCGACTCCAAGGCGATCACAAATGTTTTGATAGGGGTACACACCATTTATATCAAACTATTAGGCACCATAACTCAACGACCCACTTGACCCCCCACCCCCCACCCCCCGTCCCTTTTTTCCCCAACATGTTTCCCACAGCTTCCCTCGTGGTACCAGCCCGTATACTTCTCTGCCATCAACCTTATGTACGCTCACAGCACCATCAACCCAATCGTCTACGGCGCCATGAACCAGACTTTCAGGAAGGGCTTCAAACATCTCATGGACAGGTCGGTGATTTTTCTACTTGTTTTTTAAAAAAAAGAGAGATATAGGGGGGGAGGGAAGAGGAGGAGAAAGGAGGAGGGGAGAGGAGGAGAGAGAGGGAGGGGAGAGGAGGAGAGAGGGGGAGAGAGATGGAGAAAAAGAGAGGGGGAGGGAAGAGGAGGAGAGAGGGCGAGAGAGATGGAGAGAGAGAGAGAGAGAGAGAAAGAGAGAGTGCATAGTGGATTGTACAGGTTGATCCGATATTTAAAATATTATTGTTTCTTAGTTTAGAATTAGTAACAAATGTCTAACCCCCACCCCTAAAAATAGAGAAAAAAAAGAAAAGAAAGAAGTCGATTGCATTGTTACTACAGCTGTAAATGGGCTGTGTTTATTACAGAACAGGCTCGTGTCATTGTGGCTTTGTGACAGAATAAATCTACTATTTAAGATGCGGAATGCAATTCAAATAACAGTTGAGCCATTCTTATTTCTGGAATATATTATGAACAATCACAGACATTACATTTGTGCAGATTGCGAGGCAGACCCAACTACTATGATTATTATGATGTCAACTTTTTTGTGGATTAGCACGTTTAAAGAGAAAAATTCTCACAAACTGAATAATTATTTACAATCCAACCTGCAGGGGTTGTCGGTGGAATAACATTTTGTTTTTATTCCCAGTGGGATTCTGTCTCTGGAAGACTTAAATATAATATGAAGACACCGAATTCATTGCTGAATGATTTTGGACTATTAGTAAAGATGGAAATTTCATTTCCTGGCTCATTTGGCTAATTAGTAATGGAAGAAGAGTAAATCTCAAGACCAATTTTTTGCAGGATCAGAGGCCGAAAGCTGACTTCCTGGGAGTCTCAGATGACAGTCATTGAGAACGTCCGACCACAGGTGACTGTTGTGGACAACGGAAAAATGGAACCCAAGATGAGCGCTTCGCTGAACGAACTGGTGCAGACGAGCACACACCTCAACAAGGCTGTTCTGCTTGACGAATAGCAACAGGAGTGGAGAAAATCTGGACAGGACGCCTTCACAGATCATTGTTCTGTGTTTTTGGTTGAGCAACATGACATTTTGGCAACATGCCTTTCTTACAGCGGTACTGATGAAAGTACGCAGTTTGCTGTCTGGCATCCACATGGTTTAGGGTTCCTACAGACTGGCAGGCACGGGCGTTGTTTGTTGTTTCATGGGAACACAAAACTGCCAGATGAACGTATTAACACAGTTTTGCATGGTATGCAGACTCAAATTTGACTCAATAAGGATTTCTCCTTGCCTCTGTGGGCTTTTATGACAATGTTTTGTAAACATTGTGAAAACTTTGTAATGTGGTTAGAGCTTTTTTCGCTAAACAAAGTTACTGTGGATCTATTGGAGAAATTCTGGACTATTGCTGCGTTCTTCACCAGCCGTGATTTTTTGACGGGCTGCTTCAGATCCGAAACCGGGGAACGAACACGTTTCAAAGAGCGAAGTATCTTAGTACACATGTTTACGTACATTTCTGTAATACCAAGGTTCAAGTTACAAAACTTTGACTGAAGTGTCAAGTCTCTGAATTATTGGTTTGTCTTGCACTTTGTGTACGGTTTAATTCTTTGCAAGTTTGAAGAAAAATAATTTCTAATAATACGTATGCGGAACAAAAATAGAATCGTTTTCACTAACATATCCTCACTAACGATATGGCACAATAACTCCTACGATACCCTATAAGTTGGAAGCAAATATCTCAGCAGGTGGGTAACAAAAGGTTGCAACGTTTACAAAGATATTTTGAAGGAACTGATTTTTTCCTGTTTATGACGTAAACAAACAGATCATTCTATTTTAGACGTTGACGTCAATCTATGCTTATTGTGCTCCTGCCTGGTGTCGCTTTTGTGAGTGTTTGTGCTAGTGATTCATTGTCCAAGTCATAACTGCTCTAGGCGTTGACATTTTCTGTGATTCTATAAGGAATTTGTTGTTGCATTGATATTTCTGTTGATCTATTCCTTTATTAATTTCATGGAGACTGGCCCTTTCACGACGCCAAAAGCCACTTCAGAGAAACGATCATAACGACTTTGTGGCCATTATATAATAAATAATGATGTTATCCTCAGAACTAGGATGATTTTGAAAAATTAGGGATTCCAGTCTGGCCAGAAGAACAAGCAAGTAAACTCCAGTTTTGACTCTGCCCGATTCGAGATACAAGTAGTTCGAATTCAGATGTAACCTCTTTGAAGCAAAGGTCAATCAGAAGGTTAAAGGAATAAATGTCCCCTTGTCTGACATACGTGACGTCACCGCCAAAAGCTCTAGTACTGTATACATACATAACCTATTTGGCTGGAGCACAGTTTATAGACGTTTCCTGTCCCCTTTGCTGCTGTAGAGACGCGCACATTGCGTGGAGCACATCGAGACACCCCTGTTGAAGCAAGTTTGATCAGTGAAAAGTGACCAGTGAGTCTTTCCCACCCCACCCAATGCTCCTCACTAACCTGACGTGGAAACGCTGATGGTGCCTGCTTCATAACCAGGAGTGCAAAGACTAAGTTCAAATATGTTCATTATCAGTTTAAGTTTTAAATGTTTGCTTGGTTATTCAAATATCAATCAATCTATGTTTATTGTCGATCTTTTTTCTAACAATTCGGAACAGTCTATCAAAGATTCATGATCAGCTCACACTAAATCGAGAGAAACGCAAAAGGATTCTGGTGGGGTGTGTGTGGGAGATGGGGCACAATCTAAAATTACAGAACCTCGAAATAGACATAATATAACAGACAGATGGTAAGAGTATCTGTTGCACCTCGAGATAGATGTATTTAACATTGTTGGAATAAAAATATTCACATACTTTTGGGGGTAAAAATTGACAAGTGAGACATTTTTGGAAACGTATTACAGTCTGATAGGCAGAATAACGATAGAAGCAGAAAGCTATGGGACTTGGAAAGGGGTGTTTGAAGTTTAAATCAGAATATTGTCTGAGTTGTCCTTGACCTTTTCCTGATCACGACGAGTCATTAAAGTATCAAGTGTCGCCCTTTCACAGTCTGGGTCTAAAAAACGGTTGATCTTCTCTCTCCCCCCCCCACCCTAAGAAGAAAACGACAGTAATAGATTACAGGACATAGAGTTTTCTAAATCAAATCAGCTTTACACAGAATGCAAATGACGGTATAGAAAAAAAAAATCAAAATCATAAGTTAAAGAACTCGCTACCAAATTATGCTATAAAAACTGTTCAATGTTGCATGTAAATAAAAGCATGCCTTTTCACGTGTTGATAATTCTGTTGTCATTGTGGTTTTAATTTATTTTCAAAGACTAAACGCTTGTTGAGCAAACAAAAGTTGGGGGGGGGGGGGTGGAGAGAATATTTATTGTGTATGACTTAGACTATTAGTCAGGCAGAAAACCACTTCATTTTTGACAATAGTCAGTTGTTATGTCTTACTTGTGATTTACTCACAGAAGTCACAATATTGTTTATATCTGTTGTATAAAATCCGTCTTGACACAATGTAAGTTATTTCGAAGATGAAATCTGAACACTTGGTTGCTTTCTATGTAGGTGTCCTTTGACATCCCCATTGTCATCATTTAGATTATACAAGTTGCAGGTTTCCGATCCTGCCTTTCGGGCCTAGCCTGGGCTGAGAGGGATACAACATCCCAGCAGGAACATCGAAATACTCGATAAAATGTTTTCTACACTTGGGAATCAAACTCGGACCTCCTCGATGTGACAGCCAACCACCTGAACGCTACACCACAGACGCCGGTCGGAACATTTTAGTCAATCAGATTGTATCCTTATGCTTGTCTATCAGGACCCTTGAAACTGTGTTGTGCCCTACGTCACCAGTTCTGTGTCTTTTCTCTGCTCGTCAGTGTCAGCTTTATATTTCATTTTATGACAATGTTTTGCCCTGTACAACTGTGCATTTCTGTCCAAGTCATTACTCATAATACAAACCATTGTTTGTACTTTCCGGCTGGGCCGGAGTGGCATCTTATTTCCTTGTAAAAATCATTGTTTGCTTTATTGTCCTCTATTGAACAATGTACTCTTGGGGGGGGGGGGGGGAAGGGGGGGGAGGGGGGGGGAGGGGGGGGGAAACATTTCATGACCGCTGGGAAGGGCATTAAATAAACCCGGCGACACCCCAAGGGGGGGGCAAGGGGGGGGGGGGTGTATATGGGAGGGAGAGAGATGAAAGGGGGGGGGGGAAGGGCTGAGATGGTCTACGTTAACCTCAACCTGATTATATTATGTTTGTTCCTCTACGTTAAATGACGACAGCAGTATGGTGTTTAGGCTACTGAACTTCTAATCGTGAGATTTCGAGGTAGAGGTTTCGAGACTCAGCTCGGTCCAGCGTTGAGAAAGGATGTGAATATAAATTTTCTCATTTTGCTCAAACTTATTGGAGATAAACGTTAAATTCGTTGGTCCCGCCTCTAAAATAATCTATAGTGTTGCAAAGTACGCCAAACCTATTCTATTCTGCTCATTTTGTTTCGCTATACGTAAATGATATTATGCTTATCCATAGTGCGCTTTGGCTGTCATCTAGCAGAAACCTTTGCGCTTATAGACTAATAATCATTAAGTCCCGATTCGGCTAAAAATTATGGAATTTGAGTTGGAAGCAATTTTAGCTTCCCCAGCCTCTCCTACAACTGTTTCATAGCATAAGAACCCCCAAAGCCGCATTTTTTTCCTATACCGGGTACGTTTGTCACCACCATTTCCTCATAAAGTAAATATTTTCTTTTTCTTTTTCGGCTGTTTTCTCAAATCGGGAATTTTCTCTATACCTTTTTGAATAACTCCACCATTTTTCCTCCAATCTTCAGTTAATTTTCACAGAATGAAGAGAAGATGTAATACTAAAAATGTGTTTGTTGAAATTTTGATATATAGAATAAATATTTGTTGGTGGTGTCTGGAGCGTGTATTTTCACGGATTTTTTGCAAAATTCAACGCTTCAATGCTCAGGAAAAAATTCATTAAAAATATTC